CCTCTGCTTCTCCCCCCAACTCGCTCAAGTCCCCCCACCCTCTCTCTCTCTAAAATAAATAAATCTTTAAAAAAGAAAGAAAGAAAGAAAGAAAGAAAGAAGATAAAAATCTTCTCCATCACAGCTTTGGGCAGCTTTATTCTACTTTTGGTTAGCCTGCACTTGTAAAAAGAATATATAGGCAATCAGATAAAAATTTCATGCACTTCAATGAACAACAACAAAATCTTTTAAATGGACAAAAAATCAAAATCAAGAGAGGACACAAAAACAAATCTTGCCTCCCACTGCCTACCTTTTTAATACCTAACTTCTAACTCCTTCACATCCCCATTACTACATATCCTTTGATGAATTCATCTTTGAGATGAACTCACTGCGTGGTCTACTGCCACAGAGAATAGAAAAGTTTCCTACAAAGTGATTAATACTGATACATTTATAATGGAATCAATAATTACTTGGTTTCTGCAATTTTCCCCCAAAATAGCATCAACACTGGCAAAAGTAAATTATTACAATTTGTAAACTCTTCTAAAATTTATATCTACTATCCCGATACAGCTTACTTAATTACTCAGAACAAAGAGCTACATTTTACAGCTAATCATCCACCTGTGTTGATCAGGATAATTTGTTACTCCAAAATTACCTATCATTAGACATTAGGAAATATTAAACACATGTTACAGCCATGATGTATGGATTGGTAACATTTGCTTTTTAAATTTACAAGTTAATTTGTATTATACTTTATTGTATAATAAACAAACTATATTGTATTATACTCTCATATACTTTAGTATGGTGTTAAACTTTGATGATTGGATCAATTCACTCTTTTGCTAGAATACTGATCTACTTGAAGGAAAAAAAAAAAAAAAGTCTTTGCCCTACCAACAGGTCTAAGAAAATTAACTTCAACACTAAGCACATACGCATTTTTTCTAGGTGTGCATTTCGGTCAGGCCCTACCATTTACTGACTGAATTTCTAAGGATATGGATTTGCATTTAATCAATAGCAGGTCCTGAAAAAGAGAATATAACCTCCAATTCCATATTATCCAATTCTTATATAAAGTCTAGCAATATCTTTGGAGGACTTTATGAATGACAAGAAGTCCATCCACTCTTTTATATATTCTAAGGTTTATCCTTCTAGATAGTCAAGCCATCAGAAATCAAGGTACTTACACCATTTTACTTAAACTAGGAATAGCATTATGTAACTGCAAAGTACATTTGTATCTTACCATGAGGGTTCTCTTGGAGTGTCAGACCCTAAGAGGCTCTGGTCCACACTTGTAGGGAAAGGAAAGGGGGAGGGGAGGGAGAGCTAGTTCTAAAAGAAAGATCCTAATATAACTGACTCTTTCATTTACTGTTTTAAAGACCATGGCTCAACATCGTATTTTTCTTTTATAACAATGCACATGCAATTTTTCTTGGGAAGTTCACCTTTGGCTAATGAGAGAAACCTCATCTTTAGCTCATGTAAAGTTTCATTACCATGTTTGCATTTCACTGAGTCTCAAACCTAAACACCTATATCTTAATAGATTCTCACTTATGTTTATCTTCTTTCTCATATTTTACTTTTACACTTATGTATCATAGGCCACATCAAATCTTTAGGATAAAAAAGAGCTCACAAAGCTTTCCCTCTGAACTCAGGGATATTGTATTTAGCTATCTCAATTATAAATGTATACAAAGATGTAATATAGCCCCCCAAATTAAACTATAATGTATACAGATTTCACGATTCATGCAATTATTTCTAAACAATGCAAAGTTAACAATTTAATATGAATTTTCATACACTTCTCATACTAGAGCTAAATTTATAAAGGGTATTTAAAAGTAAAGATTTTGAATATAGAATATTAGATGTCATATAATTACCCAGCATGTTTTAACAGATTAAAATATTATCCTGTCTTTCTACTGTCAAATAAATATGGAATTCCTTTTACGGGGGTTTATCATCAAACCAAATGCTTTATACTCTGTGAAAATTCAATCACAATTGTCAAAGATCAAGCTGCTACTTCTGATAACAAACATGATGAGCTATCTTGTTCAATATATGCTTTCAACTTGACATGTAGGCTAATAAAAAATACAAAGTTGTAGTATTTATTTTGTTTCTTGCACAACAGAAGGCTTCTAATAGGGATGATCAAAATATCTAGTATCATTGCCTGAAAATACAGTCGACTCTTATCTGGATACAGATTAACTGGTTTACAGATAAACTATAGTAAAATAATAGCAACATGCATTGTCCTTGTAAATTACTATGCATCAGCCACTATGTATCAGTATAAGAGGATGTCTACTTTCAACTGCATAACTAAGAGGCACAACTTTGTGTCCATTTTGTCTATTGCATTGTCATTCACTCAACAGCTATTTATTATTTACTATGCACCAGGCACTGTATCAGGATACTCGACCTCATCGATCAGACCTAATGTCTTGTCAACAGCTCCTCTGCAAGGAAAGCATGAGGAAAGGCATATGGTCAACTCTTTGTGAGTCGACTGGAGATCTGAGATGCAAGCTCTCCAGAGGAACAGACACTTAACACTAAGAAACAAACTCCAGTTGATTTACAGGTGTAAATTTCTCCCTGACCTTGCTCTTCAGCTTGTCTGTCTTCCTTTGCTTCCCTGCTCAGGGAAAGCCTGAATCTGGCAGGTGTGCTTGCCTCCTTGCCCTTTCCTTTCCAAGTTCATTATCACCACATTCTCACAGTTCCCTAGATGCTTCTTAAATGTGTCACTTATCTACCCCAAACCCTTCTGCCACTACCGAAGCTTGTACTTCCACTGTCTCAACATATAGTCACAGTTTCATAATAGACACACACTGTTTCAGAATATTTGCTAAATAATGAAGGCAGCTTCCATCATCCTCGCCATCTATCTTTTCAGCTTGAGTTCCTCAGTCACTTGCTACACGTCTGCCAGTCACCAAGTCTCTCCCAACTATAACCCTCTAGGCCACTGCTGTCCAGGAGAATACTCTACAGTGATGGAAATGTGCTATATTTATGCTGCCAACACATATGGACACTTACTCAGCTGAAATGTGGCAAGGGTGACTGAGCTCTTTCCTAATTTTATTGAAATTTTAATTAATTTACATGTGAACAGCCCCACGTGGCTCATGGTACCAGGACTGGACAGTGCAGCTCACCTTTCTTCCATACTGCTATTAGAATTACATTGCTATGGGACATCTCTGAGACTATCACTTGAATTAAAGAACTAACATGTCTCTGTTAATCTTCACCATCAGGTGTGCCGCTGGAGGTGCTTTTCAGTCTAGACCAATTTACTATTTCCATTTTCTGCACGCCTCTCCCGTCTAAGCTTCCGATCATTTGGTGGACTCACATATGCCACGATATGACCCTTCATGCCAATTGATGGCTATTGTCTAGAATGCCTTTCCTTTTCAGGAATATCCACTCATACTTCCAGATCCAGCTCAAATTCCTACTCCTCTCTGAATGCTTAGCTGTCCTCCCTTAACCGAGCTAGACTCTCTCTCACCTCTGTTGCCATAACTTTTTGGATAGAACTCTATTAAAAATTTTAATCATAATGGTTTACATGTGAAAAACAAGGGTTCTGTGTATGCCACATAAATAATTACATCCATTCAATGAGATGATCAGGTCAAGCACTGAGCACAGGGATAGGTAAGCACCCCATAAATGTGCAAAGTTTTCAATACATGTATTATGAATTACAGCCCCCATGCTAGGGATCTTAACTGAATAGATCAGGCTCAGAAAATGAGAGGAAAATAAAAAGATGGAGATGGAGTTAAGCAAACTCACAAGCTGTTGATACCAACAGGAGGCTTTAGGTCGGGAAAACTGCATAAGGAAAGTCATGAAAGCACTGAGAGATCAACTATTCAAGCAAACCCAAGGCTAAAACTGGACTTGTTTCTCACCTTCCCTAAGTGGCAATTGCAACACAGGTCTCCCCAGCTACCTGAAAGTAGAGCGTTCCCATGAAACCTTTCATAATCCAAATGGCGTAAAGCAGAGGAGCAATCACCATTTTGTAAAAGCGGAAATCCTCTTCGGATTTCATTTTGGAAAGAGGTGTATGCTAATGTAGGTCTTTTATACAAGTGAAGTTGCGTGAAGTGAACTTCTGGACAGTGGGGAAAACCAGTCATCAAATTCCTTAATCAGGTAGCATAGATGTTAGAGCAGGTCAAGAACAAAAGAAAGCTTTTCGTAGGATGTGTAACGGAGAAGAATTTGTTGTAAGCAGATCAATAAAGCACTATTACTGTGGCCCGCTTCTGAGGAAAAAGCTCTGTTACATAAAACAGTGAATATATTTGTGGTAAGGACATTTAACCTGTGGAAGAATCCAGGAGAAAAAAAAACAAATCTCTAAACTTACTTAATTCTCACATCCTTTAAAATTATATTTAGATAGAAACACTTCAAAATCATCAATGACATCCGAGGCATGTTTATTCCTAATAAAATGATTTTCCCTTTATATAAAGCAGTCTCATTCTTTTCTCCCTTTAGTCAGCTTGCAAAAAGAAAAAAAAAAAAGCAAAGAAATATTTAAATAGTAAAGGTAAAAAATGTAGTGGCAAGCCTAAGCAATTCTCAATATATCTATACCATCATTTGCAGCTACCTGAATTGAATATTAGATTTAAATAATATTTTGATGTTCCATTTCATTAGTTTGGGAAAGCATAGGTTTACAACATAATTCTATTATTAAACAAAATCCTTCCATTGGATTTGCAGATCAGAGAAAATTAATATTTGGATTTAGCTCTGAGGTTGAGTAAATTAGCTCAGTTCACTCTGGGTTTGGGTTCATGGTTTCCTTTAAATTCTTGATAACGAGCACATCAAAATAAAAATATTTAAATAATGTAATCAGGGCTGACATTTCCAAGTAAGTGCTCAGGCAAATATGTGTTTTTAAAAAACGAACTCACTTTACAGAGAGAGCTAAGGTTAAATCCGAAGGTTTGAGCATTCCGGGAGCCCGCGTTCATGTAGTTTCCCATTAGCAACACAAGTTCCAGCAACTTGCAGAAGCTTTTACTCTGCTTTATCTCCTCGCAGGCAGTACTGACAGCCATGATGTCAGGTTTGATGTTGTTCACCTGCTCTTCAAACTGCAGCTTAAAGAGAATAGCACTGAGCCGTGGCCGTAGTCTCTTCACATTGCTCATCTGATTGAAAAGAAAATAACAGATTCCCTTTAAAATGCATGGTATACTTTAGTACTGTATGACTGTGAGTAATCTGGGATGATTTATTGGTATGACAGTGCCGAGGAAGCAATATGTTCCTTCAAACTGATAGCAGGGAGAGAGAAGAGCCCCGCTTGTTTTTGTGAGCAATCAAGAGTCATTCCTCAAAGAAGAAAAATTAACAATTTAGATGCCCAATGGAAAGAAAGCTTTAATTCAGTGACAATGGTCCCGTAATCAAGTATATATAACTTCTTAACAGAAACCAAATTTTAAAAAGGTAACAGGGTACAGAAGCAACAAATTACAAAGCATTCCTACCATTAATTTTTGTTCAATATGGAAAATGTGGGGTCATGTTTAAAACATTCAGAAAGGTCTAAAGAGGGTTTGTTTTCTTCAAATAGCAACCGCTGTCCTCAGCAGCCCTGCCGACTAACAGTATGTGTTAGATGGAGTGAAAGTAAATAGGTCCCAATTTGTACTAAATTGACTTTCTTGAGAAACAGCCAAGTTGAAGGACTCCTGACGCACACTAAATTAGCAGGGTCAGTGTTGGGGAACATGGGCGTAGCCAGAGACAGAAGCCACGCAGAGCCACAGGTCCATCCCATGCCAGGTGAACCCTGTTTGGGACTCTGGGTTCCCTTGTTGCGAATGTGGGGGGTTGAAGACTTTAAAAAGAACAAAAAGGCTAGAGTCAGCAAGTTCTTGCCTTGAGCTGACTCCCGTGTGTTCTAGCAAAAGGGAGAAGAGCCATTTAACTGAAGACTGGAGACAAAGGGCATTTAAGCTACGGATTCCTTGTCCAAATATACTAGGGATTTGAGACTTAAAACACCTTGATGAGGCAATAACAGTGAAACTATTGAATTTCAACAACTATTATAAATATCAAAAAGAAGTGAGAAGCAAGGTCAGGGGAAAAAAATAGTGACAGAACACGAGAGGGTTAAAATAGGGAATAGTTGTGTCAGTCACAGACCCTAAAGGAAAAAAGTAAAGGACAACGTCACACAAAGCTTATAGGATTTCTGTTCAGGAGGCACAAGACTATCTGCTCATAATACAATGACCGTTATTTAAAATTAAACAGACCAGACAGAAGCCTGAACTTACTAGAGTCAAAAGGCGGTAATGGACACTCCTTGGCTGAAATGGTACAGCCCCGTGTGCCCATCTAACCACCTCTGAGCAACAGGGGGTGGCTCTCCAGAGATACCTCTGAGAGAACAGTGTCCGGGAGACTGAATCCAGCCAGCGACTGAAAAGTTTCGTAGTAAATAATATAAAGAGATAAATCACATTTAGTGTTCTCCCCAGCCACCTGACAGATTAAACGTTTAAGTGTATACGGCCAAGATGCTAAGAGTTCAACTAATGTAGTTAATGACTCCCCTCTACAAAGAGCTTTAAGAAATATCTTAAAATTCCCGGAGCCCAAGGAATGTCTTCAAATTTGCCTGTCTAGAGGAAACTTTTCTTTTCTTCCTACAAGAAAGTAGAAAGACTGTAAGCTCAAATAAGACTTAAAAACAAAGCAAAAACTAGTAATGGTTCATAGAATAAATATAAAATGTAAGAAAGATAAAATGAAACTCTATTAGAATACCAATTCCTAGTGGGCATGAATCCTTCTGTTTGGACCTCTATGTCCAGCACAAGAAGTAGAATTAAGCAGTGATTACTTCTCATACAGTCATTTCATATGTCTTAAATGTTCCCAAATGGGCTAAATTCCCTACGTTTTTATCCTTAAACGTTGCAAATGGCATTCATATTATATTGGGCCAGTTCTGTAAAATGCTCTATTACATTTAATAGATCCCTTAGAATAGTAAAACAAAGGTGTAATCACCTGAGTACACACAGTTACGGTCATTCAAAAGGTATATGATGCGCCCATGGCATGTTTTTGACCTGTGCCCTCATTCATGATACTTTGTTACTTTGCAGTAAACATGAGAAGTATCCCAGGAAAATATTAGTATTACAAAATATATTACTTTTAACCTACATTAATGTACTTTATGCACAGAGAGAAAAAACTCTGCTTAAATGCTTATATTATACTGCCCCAAAATATGTTAAAGCTTCCCTGATGACAAGCAAACCATATGTAACCGGTATAAAGTAATTAATTTTCCTAGAAAAATATAACCTAGATTTGTATGAGTAATGAGTCTACCTGGCACTGGGGACAGGTACCTTGAAAAGACAGAGTAAGTGTATGATGTAATGCAGAACAAAATGCTATGAGTTCATGAAAAAGCCTGACAAAGCAAAGTCAGGAAAGGAATCCTAAAAAACACATCTTGGAGCAACATCTTTTAAAATTAGATGTCCTTTACATATTGTTTTTCCTTCCAAATTTTAAAAAAATATTTTGACGAATATGAAATAAATTTATTTTAGTGAACAAAATCACTGAGCTGGAAAAGAACGTGAGGGATCACCTGGAGCTCATTAAGGTCTTGAGTCCACTATTGAAGAGCCTACGCTGATCCTCCAGGACACATGACTGTCCCTGTTATTTAAAAACAAAACCAAACCCGTAAAGAACGCTAATGTTCTAAGATCTAAGATCTAGATCTATGATAATCACAGGGTTCTTTTTGTCATTAATCAAATCAGTCTTTTGTCACATAGGATCAAAGAAAAAAGGTTTAAAAATTAGAATTTTTTTTTTGTTTTAAATTCCTGAAGGATGTTTCTTTGTCACTTCACAGACTTGCATTCTGTTTGCTTGCTAAGGAACCGCTCATTTGTCTGAGGCTGGATGCAAAAATGGAGCATTATAGTGCTCAAATAATCTTCTCTATGGTAACAGAAAGTCGCAACAGAGGAGGAGGAGGACAAAAAGAGTTAAGAAAGTTTAACTGCAAGATAGCTAATAATTAGAATGCTAAAAGAAATTAGAATTCCTCTTTCACAGAGGTATCCTTTCAATTTATTGTCACGGAGTCTTAGTAATATAAACTCGCATCACAAAACTCTGACAATAATGAACTGTGATCTGAAGATCAATCTAAAGGCATAAAAAAGGAAGTGAAAATACTTTCACTATTGTCTGAAAGCAGGGGGCAGGATTCCTGCAATCTCCCCACCCCATGACCAGAGATGTCCCATGCCCCAATGAGAATACCTTTCAAACAGTGACTGGTGAAAATCAAACCACAAGCAATATCCAGAACGCCAAGGGTAATCTTTATAGACACACTTGGGTTTGTTGGCAATGTGAGTGTTGTCGAAGAGATGAAATGAAACAACTTTAGAGAAGAATGAACCAACAGGTACTGACTGGATGCCCACTCAGTACTGTGTGAGTCACCTAAGTCATGAATTCCACCCTTGGATCATCCAAGTCTTTCCATCTGTCTTAAAGGGTAAAAAGTAGTAGTAGTCCCCAGGAAGATGCCATCTTCCATCATCTCATTATGTTTTTCACATGTAACTTTAATGTCATCCATTGTTTTATTGGGAAAAAACAGAAGTAGACATTTTTATACCAACGATGTCTAATACCATATCTGGTTCTCTTTATTTCTTTTATAGATAAGAGATATTCAGAAACTGGCTTATTCAAAACTTGCTGGGACGCCTGGGTGGCTCAGTCAGTTAAGCGTCTGCCTTTGGCTCAGATCATGATCCCAGGGTCCTGGGATCGAGTCCAGCATCAGTCTCCCTGCTCCGCGGGAAGTCTGCTTCTCCCTCTCCCTCTGCCTGTTGCTCCCCCTGCTTGTGCTGTCAAATAAAATCTTAAAAAAAACTTGTTGGGTTCCCCCTACCTTCTTGCCTGCAGACTTGTGTAGGCTTCCCTCAAAAGAAATTTCAGTACATTCTCCTTATCTTCATTATTCTCCCCTAAAGTCGTTTTAAAACTATTTTAACCATTCATTTAGCTAACACTACAAATAGCCAACTGATTGAAAAGCCACTCACTTCAGTCTTAACTGACTGGCCACTCTAAACCTTTACTTCATATACTTTGTACATATATCAGGAATAACAGAATATGATTTCACAAAGGTTTAAGGACTCCTGCGAGGTCACATGCAGGTAGGACACAGCCCTCGAGCTAACTTGCTGCCGATCACATGTGCATGCCACTCAGAGCATCACAGTTTGGAAATTAATAACCCCAACTTAAAAACCATCTGATACTCAAACTACTCCTATGCTTTTCCAGGAGTACGAATGGACTTTAACTGCGCCACAGTAGTTATTAGACAAAACACTATAGAGTTGACCCTGCTGTGAGCACCGCCTGCTACGACTTCGGACTCCTTTCCTTTCCCAGCTACCTCCTGCTGTGCTGAATTTTTAGTATTTTCCAGATTCGTGTTTGTTGTCCCCTTACACTGCACTCTCCACTCATACTTTATTAGCTAGTTCTTCTGTTCTCTGTGGAAGAGGTGCAAGATGCAAGGAGAATGTGAAAGAACAAATGCTTCGTTGTCCGAGACAAGTCTAGAGAAAATGACAAAGGGTTGAGGAAGGAAAGCGACATCCAAGAAAGCAATGTGAATCTATTAACAGAATTAAGACACTTAGAAAAAAGTTTTTAACTTGAATTCTTAAGCTAAACTACATAAAAAATATCTACCCTTTACTATTGGTTGACCACTATTTTCAAGACTTCCAGAATGCTCAGGAAAAAATAGTTCGTTTCATGTCAAGAAATGCATCTAAAGGGGCACATGGGTGGCTCAGTTGGTTGAGCATCCCTCTTGATTAGGGTTTAGGTCATGACCTCAGAGTCTGGAGATAGAGCCCCACATTGGGCTCCACACTCAGCAGGGAGGCTGGTTGAGGTTCTCTCCCTCTGCCCCTTGCCCCGCTCACTCACTTGTGCTAAGATAAAGAAAATCTTAAAAGAAAGAAAGAAAGAAAGAAAGAAAGGAAGGAAGGAAGGAAGGAAGGAAGGAAGGAAGGAAGGAAGGAAGAAAAGAAAGAAAGGAAGGAAGGAAGGAAGGAAG